ATATTGCCAAGGGTCTTCCGGGATGAAAATACTATCGCTTTCCGCTGCGTTTTTCCTCAGGTATTAGTCATTGGTTTCAATTTGTATGTACATCGATAGGAAATCCACAGGACTTTATAGGGATGTCCATTCAAGTCCCAGTACTGCTGGGCCTTTGGGTTTGATTGGTGGTATATTGCGGAAGGTACCACAACTTGGTGAACTTAGTTGGATTGCATGTGTGTAGGGTGGTGGTAGGAGACATCATCATCATCAGGACACGTACTTCTGAGTCGATCAGATGAACTGTTTCAAGGATGTTGTTTCTAGGGTCGGATTGAACTTTCGCCCGTTCGAGCTTTGATTTTGACGGGGAGTATTTTAATGACAGCTGGTGGAAATTTCGTCCATCAGCGATCAGGCTACACCTTCGTTTCTGCACACGTTTCTTGTGGACGGATCGTAAAGGTTGGATTGCTTCCAGTTCCTCTTCCACCACCCACTCCGATCGTACTAATGAGAATGAAGCTTAATGGTTGCCATGGCCATGAATTGGAGAAATTTAGAATGTAAACACAATCACAAAAGTTTAACTTCATGATTGCCAAACTCATTGGATTGCACTAGCGTGCACAGGAATCTTGTTAAGCAAGGGCAATTTTTTTCTTTGGTGCATTTAATCTGGGGATAGGGAGTACTCCAAAGTACGTGGTAGATGGTGCTACCCTCCTCCCGCTTTTTCCCTACTGTTCATTAGCTAATTTTATTTATTTTTTGCTCCGGTGGTGGTTCGTCTTCTTTACATTACATTGTGCAACGACGTAATCATGTCATTTTGAACACGGTTACTTGTATACTGGCAATTTTTCGCACCTTCCGCCAAGTGTTTTTTTTTTCAGCACAGGATCGTAGTTAGCCACCAACTGGGTGGCACACTTTCCGCTCCTTCCGAATGTCCACGAAGTGGTAGGCTACCTTTGCAAAGTATGCGCACAATATCGATGAAATGTTCCATTATATAGCGATTTTGTAGCCGCTTTGCCTTACTAGCAGCAATCATAACTGTTTTTTTGGTGGTCCAGTTCTTCGTCGATAGCCTTCCTGGTCTTCCACGCTTCCATACTACCAACATGGGTATCACTGCGATTGTGTTTGCCTAGCAACTCGGTCGATTTCTTCCAAATTTCTGAACCCTGTAGGAATCGTTGTAATAATGTTTTGCATCTTGCTCTTCTTTACAGGTTAAAAATATAAACCAAAGAAAATATATTCTTCAAGATACTGGTATCATCTTTTATGCAGTTACCTTACTGAAATTTTGTGCAGTACGTTTTTGTATATTTTGAAGGCATCGTTACAATTTTTGACTATTTCAAGTAAGTATTTTTGTAAGCCCTTATATGCTGTTATAGTCACTTTACTGTTACCGTTGCGAGTACGTTAAACTTGATCATTTTCAGCGAAAATTGTAGTTTTAATTTTTTCAAATTTTGATTAAAATGCCAAGGTTAATAGGATCATTAAAAGGTTTAAAAAATATATAACGATTGAACCAACGGCGCACAAAACTATTTTGATAAACGAGTACAGGATTGTTAACGGAATGACGACTTGTGCGAAGGATTGAGCATGTCAACCACGGTAACAAATGACTTGAAATTTTCAGAGAAGATTCTTAGACAAATTCTTAGTAAGACAACAATCGACCAAGGTTCAATGGCAAACTTATACCTAATTTTCAATTAGGGAATCCAAAAGCTGTCTTTAAACTTTGTACAGTTGCGAAAAAGTCCATCCTCAGAATTCCTTAGGTTCTTTTAGAATTTTTTAGAACTCTATGAGCTCTTTTGAAATTCTTCTCAGAAGTCCTCTGGAATTATTTTGAGAATACTTCTTGACTTTTACTCAGAACACCTTGGAACTTAAATTTCCTTAGAGTTTCAGAAGAATTTCCTCAGTATTATCTAGAAATTATTCCCGGAATGAGCTAGAAATTATTGGTACTCCCTTGAAATTTTCCTCAAAATTCCTTTGGAATTTCACTCAAAATTTAATTTTCTCGGTATTCTTTTCGAAATTATCTTGGAACTATCTGCAGGATTCGCAGACAAATCTTGGAATACTCCCCAGAAATCTTTTAGAACAGTCCTCAGAATTCAACATCCTTGAGGATCTTCTCGGATTTTTTAGAACTCTCCGAAGAGCTTTTTTGAAATTCTTCTTAGAAGTCCACTGGAATTATATTTACAATTCTTCATGATTTTTTTCTCAGAACACCTTGGAACTGAAATTCCTTTAGAATTTCAGAAATTATTCTCGGAATTCGCTTGAAATTTTACTTAAAATCCCTTTTGAAGTTCACTCAAAATTTGATTTTCTCGGTATTCTTTTCGAAATTATCTTGGAACTATCTGCAGGATGCACTAGAAATTATCCGCAGAATTTTATTTGAAATCTCTCAAGAAATATTTTGGAACTGTCCTAAGAATGCAATATCCTTGAGTTTCTTCTCGGAATATTCTAGAACTTTTTTTTTGTCAGAACACCTTGGAAATGAAATTCCCCTAATGTTTCAGAAGAATTTCCTCTGTATTCTCCAGAAATTCTTCCCCAAATGAACTTGAAATAATCTCCGGAATTTCCTTGAAATTTTCCCCAATATCCCTTTGGAATTTCATTCAAAATTTGATTCTCTCGATATTATTTTCAAAATTATCTTGCAACTATCTGCAGGATTCACTAGAAATTATTCACAGAATTTTCATGGAATCATTCCCATAAATCTTTTCTTTTGGAACTTCTCTTCAGAATTCAATACCCTTGAGGTTCTTCTCGGAAGTCAAGTTTAAGTTGTCCGTCCATTCACCAAAACATTATAGTTTTTCTACCAGAAATGTTCAATAAAGCTTGCCCCTCCATTCACCAGAACTGTGCAATTTTTACCTCAGGAATTTTCAATTCAGCTAGCCCCTTCATGCAGCAGATTGAATGTTACACCAGAAATTTTCAATACAAACTTGCCCCCAGAAAATTGTACACCAGGAAATTTCAATTGACCAGAACGATGCAATAATTCACCGTTAATGTTCAAAAAAAATTGTTCTCCAATCTTCTGATTGGTGCAGATTTCCTTTTTCCATTTTTCACCAGACATTTGCAATATAGCTTGCTTTTCCTATCATCAGAATGTTGCAGGTTTTCCACCAAATAAAACTTGCCCCTATTTTCAGATTTTTCAGCATAAATTTTCAGTACAGCAGCTTCCCTCCAATCATTAGAATGGAGCAAATTTTACACCAGAAATTATAATTAAAGTTTGTTCCTCTATTGAGCAAAAGGATGCAAATTTGAGACCAAACATTTTTCGAAAAGCTTGCCCATCCGTTCACCAGAACTGTGCAGATTTTCCTCCAGAAGTTTTCAATATAGCTTAATTTAAATAAAGCTTGTGCCTTCATTTACCAGCCCAGTGCAAGTTTTCCACCAGAAATTTTCTGTTAATTTCATTTATCAGAGCGATGCAAATTTTGCACCAGAAATTTTCAATAAAGCATTCTCCTCCATTCACCAGAATGGTGCACCAACAATTGTCAGTGAAGTTTGTTTTACCATGCACTTTTGTGGTGCAATTAACCACTTCATTCGAGCAGTCAAAATGACGTTTACTACCACTCGAACTTTGGAATGAAAAATTATTTTGAGATTTTTTCTTCTAGAACCTCGAGAAAAGTAGCCAACATTTGTGGGTTTCATAAAAAAATAGAAATTAGTTGGTCCAGTTTTGTGAAATCGCTGGTAGAAAGTCACGCCAAAACTGCTTGACAAAGTGGTCAATTCTCAGGCACCAGAGTGGTGCAAATTTTCCACCATAAATTTTCAATGAAGCTTGCATTCATCAGAACGATGCAAATTATGCACCAAATTATGCTTCTACATTCACCACAGTATTGCGAACGTTCCACAAGAAATATTCAGTTAAATGTGCACCTCCAAATTTTTAGCGTGGTTCAATTTTTCCACCAGGGTTATTCATTTTGATTAGTTCCTCGATGATTGATGATATTTTTACACCAGATATTCAATAAAAAGCTTTTTCTTCTATTTATCACCACGAAGGTGAATTTTTTTAACCTTAAATTAACCCTCTTATTTATCCCTCCATGAACCACATCGAAAAAAAAATTACAACAGAATTTTTTTGTATGCACCACTGTGGTGCAATTTTTTGACCAAAAAATGTCATTGAAGTTTGTCCCTTCATGCATCTTTGTGGTGCAATTTTCAGACACCATCTCAAAGGAATAGATGCAATAAAAAGTTTAACAGTTGTAGCTGCGCCTTTACCGACTGAGCTAAGAAAGGCCTCTTTCCTGCTACACTAAGTGGCAAAGTCTATAGTCGATGGATCATGTGGTGGAAGACAGTCGCTTTAAGTTCATGATAATCGTTGAAAGTGTTTGGTATAACTCGTCTCGTATTTGTCGGTTTTCTGAAGATTTCAAATGCCAGTGAATTGGATTCTCTAATAACTAGAACATCCAAGAACGGTATATCGGTCTGGTACATAGTACTCTCTTCGGGCCCAAGCTAATCGATGCACCCCTCGAAACATAAGAAAATCCACGAACCCCTCATTTTATCTGCCAAACCATTCATTGTAAAGTAATTCTCTTCCATACACAATCAATCAATCAATACAATCAATCATCAATCAATTTAGATTATGAAATTCGTCGATAAATTATGCCTAGAAAAATGAGTAGACGATTCAGACTAGCCATACTCGTCACATATAGGGTAATTGCAACCCACCAACCTTGGACAGGCATACCAGTATGTCTTGTTGACAAAAAATATCCCCAAATCAAAAACATAGAACTACGCCGAATACAAAATTTACCCCTCAAGAAATTCTGATCAGGTTTCATAATGAACTAAACCAAGAAATTGCTTAATTTTTATACTGAATAAAAATTATAAACATTTCCCGGCTCAAGACAAGAATCAACAAATGCACTCACCCCCGTTTTCAGATCCACCGTGAACCAGTTGGGAACGTGCACCCTTTGGCTGCGCTTCTTGATTTCCTCCTCGTAGTCCACCTTGCCCAGATCTTCCACCTTCTTGACCTTCAGCACGTCGTAGATTGCTACATTCTGTTCGCTATCCTTGGTCAGCATAAACCGCTTGTCGTTCAGTACGTGATACTTCTTGATGGCCGCCCCTCCCTTGATGCATGCCACTTCGTATCCCTTACTCTGCCCGGTGCTTACTGCTGACGTTGTAGCAGCACCAGCAGCAGCACTCGTTCCAGCTGCACTCACCGTCGATGATGTCGAATTCGTTACCGGTGCAGCGTCACCTGCCGTTGTAGCAGAAGCAGAAGCAGAAGCAACAGCAGCAGTACCGCTGCTACTGTTGATACTACTGTTACTAGTGCTGTAATTGTAGCTGCTCAGCTTTTCCGTTTTGTTCAGCTTCCAACACCGGATGTCGCTGTTCCACGTCGTTGCCCAAATGCCCGTCTGGTCGATGTTGTAGCACAAACTGAGCACCGGCGCCCGTTCCTCGCAGATCAGCACACTGTTCGTTGGATTGCGCAGCTCAGTCATGACGATCTTCTTGTCTCTGCTGCCGGAGATGACGTGGGAAAAGTTCTCCGTCATCAGAAGGGCCCAAACCCCTTCCGAATGAACACTGATCGTCTGGATGCACCGCTGCTGCCCGATGCTCCACAGTTTTATCTTGCCATCCGAGCTACCGGATACGACCTGCGTACCGTCCTCGGACACGACCAGCGCTTTCACATTTTCCGTGTGGCCTTTCAGTTTGGCAATCTTGTTGCACGTCCGGGGGTCCCAGATTCGGAGGGTATTCTCGGTGGAACCGCACACGATGATCGTACCGGAGGGATTCATTGCCAGACTGTAGATCGAATCCTTCGATCCGGTGATGCTGGATGCTGTTCGGAGAGAAATTTTCATTCACATTAATCAACCCTACCAAAACCAGCTGACAATTTCCTACTTGTAACGGTGTTGTTCGAAGCGGTGAGTGCCGTCAGGGTGTTGATGTCCCAGAGGAAGATCGCCTTGTCCAACCCCGCACTGGCCACCTGTTCACGATCCTTGGCATACGCTAGCGCCTGAACGTAATCCCGGTGTGTCCGAAGCGTCGACATACAGAAGCCCTTGTGGGCGTTCCATACCTTGACCGTCGTGTCACAGCTGGCACTTATTACTGAAAGCAATTAGAGAAAATTCCGTCAACCCAATTCCAATATCCAACAAACAAACAACTCACAGTTCCGTCCCCCGCAGCACAGTACAATGTCGTTCACCCAATCGTTGTGATGTTCCATGCTCTGGATGTACGGTTCTTGGGAGGTGGTCTGCGTCGAGTTCCACACGCGGATGATCGCATCACGACCGGCCGAATAGAGCCGTCCGTTGATTGCATCCAGCTGCAGCGCGTTGACGCCGTTCCGGTGCCGCTTTTCCTCCGCGTCCCGGATCACGAAGGATACCTGCATCTTCTTCCGTCCGCCCTGATTGTTCTTGTGCGTCAGCATTTTCGTCTTCAGCGTTGTTCACCCGAATTGGATCAAACTATTCTGTCAACCCGAACTACCGAAACCGACGCACACCTCACAGGCCAGCAGTGGGAATAGCAGAAGCAGCAGCAGGGCGGAACATCTGGTTGCAAATTTAGAGAAAAAAAAATCTTCCAGAAAATAAGATTTTCTTCTTCTTTTGCCGCTGCCGCCGATTCGGTCCACTTCAACTTCGGAAGGAGTGCTTATGCAAAACTCGTTCCGGTACGGTTTGAGCACAGTTTAGCAACTAATTGCACGTATTTCACATCAGTTCACACGCCAACGTTTAACCGTGCTCGACTCCAACTCGAAATAAGGCGAAAATTAAGCACTTTAGGTTGATTTTCACTGAAAATATCGTAGGAAAATTTCGATTTGTTTACGTGCCGAAGTGATTGAAAAGTGATCCAATTTTTTCTCTCTCTGCTGTTATTTCGTTTAACATTTTTTGACGTTTTGCTTTGCAAAAACTCTGCGAAGAAAACAGAGCTGTGCGCCGCCAAAGCCGCTTCGTAGGGGTTATCGATAAAGCAGTTTTTGTTGCAGTTTTTGATGCACTCGGAAACATTCCCCTAATAAAATTTTCGTTAAGGACGTGTTCAGGATATCATCCAAACAATTTGTGGAATAGTTCAATCATTTGGGTTATCGTTCAGGTATGGTATTTTTTATTAGTGTCATGTAGCGTAGGTGTACCAGTTATGGCTATATTTATTATGTGTTCCAATTATGACCTGTGGCATTCCCATAGGTCATAACTGCAACCCCATAATACGAATGTATAGCTTTATAAAGCTATACATTCGTATTATGGGGTTGCAGTTATGACTATAGCTATAGCTGGTACACCTACGATGCTTAAAATTTAACCACTTTCTATTATACCCTCAAAAAATATTGAAATCTAAATAGTATAAAAGCTACGCTAAATCGCAACTCTCCGTACCGACGCAATGGTCGGTATAAAGGGAGAGAATGCAAACTTAGTATAAAAATGGTTTATGCGTGCCATAGTATAAAATCGAAATATACTTACAATGTATAGATACGGTTTAACGGCGCCGGTGGTGTAGTGGTAAGCGTGATTACCTCTCACCCCAGCAGGCCTGGATTCAATTCCAGTCGGCGCCGCCGGGATGTTCTGAGGCATAACATCTCTGATCACGCCTTCCTTCGGATGGGAAGTAAAGCCGTTGGTCCCCGGTTCATGAGTTGATGGGTCGATAGGTAGGGTCCAGGTGTGGGAGCTGCATTCCTGGCACGTCGGTAGCATTGGTGCTCAGCACGGAAAACAAGATCGACGGAAAAAAACAAACCAAAGGAAAAAAAACGCGTTATTGGGACGTTACTAATGGAAATTGTTGGTTGCTATTAAAAATTTAGTCGATTGCTGAATTTATATATGGGCCCAAATTGGGGACACTTAGGTCGACATTACCTGCATTTCCCCTATAATGCTTAATTTGTTTTCAGTAAGTGGCAACACCTTTACTTGTGGTTCAAACAGTAACTACCTACATGACTTCTGAGCTCTTTTGAATGTTTGGCTCCCGTTTGACAGTTTGACTCGGCTCCCAGATGACAAGCATTATGAGTTAGTTCGCAGTACTCAGAGATACAGGTATACCTCGATTTCACGCAACTGTCACTTTTGACTTCCATCGCTGATTTATCGTAAACGATCATTCAAAAAAGCAAAGTAATAACACCATTGGACATGATAGAAACTAAAGATTTTAAATTAGCTCACACTGGGCTAGCCTAGAAATACTCAGAGCAAGAGATGGGCGGAGAAAACAAAATACAATTCGGCAGCAGGGATTTGTACCTAAATAATCTTGCAACCCTTGCTAGAAGCTAGCATTTCACATGACTGTTACTTTTGATTCGATTTACGTGCAAACCAAGGGGTAAGTCACTAAGCACATTGTGCCGGAATTATATTCTACACAGCTTGGGCACATCCATCGGCACATTTTCGGCATACCTTCGGCACAATCTCGTAGGCATTAGATTGGTGTAAATAAAATGGGAGCACTGCTGGACAACTGTCATTGAAGTTGTTCAGAACATTACGTGCTGTTTGACTGTATATTCAGGAACATCTTCTAATTGAATATACCAGAGGAACTCAGACCAGCAGTTCACTTATAGATCTAAATACGAAATGTAGGTTCTAGAGTGGACTCAAGAGGAAGAGGCAGTTAATCAGACCTCATCAGTACCCTTAATTCAAATACTGCTGTAACTCACACAAAACAAACTAAAGAAGTCTATTACCCTCTATAGTCGGTCTCTAACAATACTCCCCACCGGTTCCAACTCTTTCCGGCCAAAAGGCTAGGTTTCTGGTCTGCCTTTGAGGGCATTATAAAACACTAAACACAGAACTTTTATTACCCTATGGATAGCAAAACACTGAAATTTCGCACACCCGCCACATCCCGCGTCATTCTCAATCCGATTTATCCTTGCGATTTCACACCAAAACATTCAAGGTGTCAGAAATACCGGGTTGCCGGGATGGGTATTTTACAAACAATCGTAGCTTGCTCTATGACCGGCACAATCAGCATACTTGCGGCACACTGACAAAAAAGATGACCCAAAATTGGTGTGTGGAGTGACCTACCCCTTGGTGCAAACTAATAATTGATTACATCACAATATTTTGCACATTTCTTTGTGCCATTAATTAACCAACTAAAATCAATTAATCAATAGAGTTAGAACATTGTTTTTCATTCAAAAAACTAGTTGAATTTGAGAAACACACGAAACATAGAGGTTATTGAATTTCTTCTTCTTCTTCTTCTTCGCATTTCAAGCTTATTGCATATTGCATATTAGCTTATTGCGTGCTCTCAACTTAGTGTTCTAGATGCACTTCCACAGTTATTAATTGAGAGCTTTCGATGCCTGTACCATTTTTGCATTGGTATAATTGTGTGGCAAGTCCAATCATACTTCTATGCCCAGGGAAGTCGAGAAATTTTCCAACCTGAAAAATTCCTAGACCGGACCGGGAATTGAACCCAGCCACCTCCAGCATGGTCTTGCTTTGTAGCTGCGCCTCTACCGGCTGAGCCAAGGGAGGCCCCGTGATTGAATTTCTGTTCGATTGTAATACTCTAGAATTTAATCTAGTAAGAATAAGAAAAATTCTAATGGGAATGTTCGATTGGCTCAGATTTTGACAATTCATTTGGCTCAAAACATTCCTTCCGCTTATCTCTCCCTCTGAGTATTTCTAGGCCAAGTTCATCGATGAACGTACCCCATTCTAGTCGAAATTCTAGCACTACACTATGTTTGTTTTGATTCGCTATGGAAGTTGGACAGATAAAATGAGAGGTCCGTGGATTTTCCTATGTTTTGAGGGGTGCATCGATTAACTTGGGACCGAGGAGAGTACCAGAGCTGAGCCAAAAAGTTGAGCACGTTTCTTCGGGGCCTGCTGCTCTTAGAGCTACCCGAGGAGTTACCTCTATGGTATTAGCATAGAGGTAACTCTAAGACCAGAAGGTCCCGTAGAAACGTGCTAAATACGGATACTGGGGGTAGAACGAGATGAATTTTCCAAGGCCGTTGACGCAGCTTTCTACACGGATGGACGATAAAATCATAGAGGTAACTCTAAGACTAGTAGCAACAATCAATACGAAACTATCGATTTTAAATTGGCTCACTACTTGACTAGCCTATTGGTCCCAAGCAAACGATTAATGTACCCCATTATAGTCAAAATTCTAGTACTACACAATGTTTGTTTTAATTCGCTATGAAATTTTGACAGATAAAATGAGGGGCTAGTGGATTTTCCTATGTTTCGAAGGGTGAATCGATTAGCTTGGGACCGAAGATAGTACCAGAGCTGAGCCAAAAAGTAGAGCTCGTTTCATCGGGACCGACTAGTCTTAGAGTTACCTCTATGCTAGTAGCATAGAGGTAACTCTAAGATCAGAAGGTCTCGAAGCAACATGCTCAACTTTTTGGCTCAGCTTTGGTACTCTCTTGGGTCTCAAGCTTATCGATGCCTCGATCGATGCATCCCTCGAAACATAGGAAAATCCCCGAACCCCTCATTTTATCTGTCAAACTTTCAAGCAAATCAAAACAAACATAGTGTAGTACTAGAACTTCGACTAGAATGGGGTACGTTAATCGATTTGCTTGGGACCCTTGGGACCAATAGGTTAGCCAAGTTTGTTTTTTTTCCGTCGATCTTGTTTTCCGTGCTGAGCACCAATGCTACCGACGTGCCAGGAAGGCAGCTCCCACACCTGGACCCTACCTATCGACCCATCAACTCATGAACCGGGGACCAACGGCTTTACTTCCCATCCGAAGGAAGGCGTGATCAGAGATGTTATGCCTCAGAACATCCCGGCGGCGCCGACTGGGATTGAACCCAGGCCTGCTGGGGTGAGAGGTAATCACGCTTACCACTACACCACCGGCGCCGCTAGATCATACTGTCAAAGATGAATGATCAAATCAGATCATGGATTGTTTTTTTTATAAACAACACGTGATGTAAACATTCTTGGAAGTGGTGCCAAAATCGATGAAAAATTATCTTTTATGTAGTGTGGCATGATAAGGAGTTTGGAGTGTGTCACAGTGTGTTTTTGTGGGTGTCAACACAAGTTGGCAGAGTGACTTTCTCACTGCCTAGTGGCAAACGTTTTTGCTTACTGAGCAGAAGACCGTGGGTTCAATCCTAAGCTCCTTCGCGTTATATGATCGTTAGGATATCAATTCAGCTTATCGTTTACCCAAACGAATCCTGCTACAAACCTAACCCTTTTATACAACATCCCAGTGATTTCTCGTGGAAATGCAGAGGATTTCTCGGCTTTTAACATAGCGGGTAACACGCCAACACATTCCTACCCTTTCCTTTCTTGACCTGCGTTTGGGCGCGGCCGGCGTTAGTATTGCCAAGTTTGAGATCACTAGTTTTTACATATTGAGGATGAATGCTAGTCCCAAGGGGGTTCTCTGTGTAATTACAGCTTATCTGGTAATAACAGAGTAGCACAGCACCAGCGGGCGGTCAATCATGCTCATGCTCATGACGAAGTTCAAGTGTTGGAGGGAGTACCCTAGCTCGAGGCCACCCCATTGGTGTAAAATCGGGCCAGCTATAGGGTGGCAATTCTTACATATTTAAAAAGGTAAAAGACTCTCACAATAGCTTTGTGCGCGCTGGCAATTATCATTTTGATTATTCAAAAAAAAAAATTATATAAAATGGTAGAAACCCTCAAAAATCGGTATTCTGTACTTCGGTATCAATAATTTATAAAATCGGTATAAATTAGTATGTTTGGCAACGCGCTATACTCAACACATGTGATGTTGCCCCTTCATTTTCGACACTAACCTCTCCCACGCGCTGTTTTCTA